CCTCCATATGTATATACTAAATTGTGCAATATTAGGCAAGATGTCATTTTTAACCATAAACTTAGCTGGTAGATGTATATGCAATACTCATTTTTTTTTTTTTTTTCTTTTTTCTTTTTTTTTTTTACTGTAAAGAAATGTTCATGTCAGAAAACAAACAAACTTTCGATGCATAAATACAGACTCTTCGTTTTTAGCTCCTTTTTTGGACTTTGTATATTAAGGCTCCTGAAGTTATTCTACCTTATATGTATATGTATATCTATGTGAATCTTTGTGTATATAAGCTACATGGTGAATGCTATTGTTGGCCGAGATTTTTTTTTTTTCTTTCTTTTTTTTTTCTTGCCTATTCTAAAAGAGTGGTGCCTCTATATGTAGTTTAAAGTTTGAGTCTTTTTAATTTGCGTTTGTGAAAGAGTAACTCTTGTCATATGTTTCCCGGTCGCTTGAAGATACGTTTTTTTTCATTTCTTCTTCTCCTCCGTTTGAAATAGATCTCGACATTTAAAAAAAAAAAAAAAAAAAAAATTGTAAATGAGGTCAAAGAAGGATGTGAATTGGTATTTCAGTATTGTTGTGTGTGTAAGAATATGAATGCTGTGTCAAGAACCACGTATGACTTATGTTTGAGGTTACAAAGTAAACTAATTTCACGTCATAATTTAGTTTGCCGTTTTAGCTGAATCTGAAGGGGCAAAATACCTCCAGTTTTGCATGGAGGCTAAGCTGTTTTCCTTCTTGATATGGACAGAAGGAAAGGGAATTTTTTTTTTATTTATTTATCTATTTATTTTGTGTAAATGTGCATGCGTGTGTATTTGTGTGAGCGTGAATTTGTAAATACTGCCTTAAGATTATATTCCTCTTTTTTTTTCAGTGAATTTTCAATGCTACTTTTAATCAGTAGCTACAATTAGTATGGTGAATTATAGTTAGTACTTAAGACTTTGAAAATAATTGGCTCTTTTTTTTATATATATTAAATCAATCTCATGTTGAGTCTTTAAGTGCTTACATTAATAAAGATACATTGAGAAAATTGTAGATTATTTATTAGACATAGACTACAATGGAAGACCATTTATCAACCTACAATATCCAAATAATATTGTAATAGATATTATTTTACAGATTTATATTATAATATCTTGTCTTGTACTACTGTTATGAAATAACAGACGAAACGGTTTAGATTTCATGCAAAGCCACGGAATAGGAGCATTATTCATATATGTCTATGTACTGCACATATCATTCTTCCTTTTAATTAGTTAGGTTTATTAACCCTTTACATACAAAGAGACCATATATGTCTGCTAATGTACTGCACTCGTCTCCTTGGATATAAAGGCATATAAGGTTCCCAGAGCGCACTGAAGGGGCAGAGAGCGGCCTCGAGGTTGATTTGGTGGTATTTGCATCTAAATATTTGAAGCTCAAAAGATGGTGCTGGTGCAAGTAGTTTAAGACGTGTGGGTTTAGGGTTTAAGTAGTAGTGCCAGGAATCCAGCGCATGGTTGTGTATATATATGGGTATATATGGAAAGACCATTGTATTACAGTATTTAACCAGCAGAGGGATGTTAGGGCACTGTAGTAAGACACTCGTAAGAATTTATGAGAATTTTTCTAATAGCGCAGATAAGGTTCTTTTCGTACCTACGATATCACTCAAACGGTGACATAAGCTCTACAAAGAGTCTGGCCTTGCTTGGTTTATCTGCAGCAACATCTATTGCTTAACTAATGGAAAATAATGTGCTTCATCATCTTCAGCTTTACCTTCTCTGCCTTCTGAATTAAAAATTGTGATATTATACCACCACTTGATTCTCTCTCTGTCTGTCTGTTTGTCTGTCGCTTGTTTTTTCTTCTCTCTCTCTCTCTCTCTCTCTCTCTCTCTCTCTCTCTCTCTCTCTCTCTCTCTCTCTCTCTCTCTCTCTCTCTCTCTCTCTCTCTCTCTCTCTCTCTCAGATACAAATATATGATATAATTTTGAATCTTGTGTGTGATGGTATTTTCTGAAACTGCTTGCTGTGCTTGCATGCTTTTACAGTACACTCATACCCCAGTTTTATGAACCTCTCTTTGATGGCTGTCAGAAGTAACGGCCAAAATCTGGTGCAGGTAACTCACTGTAATGAGTTTTGTAAACACCGGACATGAGCCACTGCTTTGCCAGCTGACAGAGAGGTGAGGGGGATGTCACTCTTTCCATCCTGGTAACTACGTGTGCAGATAATTGAGCAAAAGTTTCAATTTTTATTTCATTTTATTTTATCTTTTATTGCCCATCATTGTTCTGTAACTGTATCATCTGGAAGAAAAGTGGAAAAGGGTGAATTCAACAGTAGCACAAAATGTAATTGTTGATGTTATCCACTACTTTCTGGAGGTAATGGCGGTAATACCTCACTGTAGTTCCCCTCGTTTGTCCATTAAAACACATTAAAACGGAGTATGAGTGTACTGTTCATTTTGATACTGTAGCCCTTCGGTTATCAGCTCTTGCTTTAAGTGCTGTCACTTTTATTTTTGTTGTTATTCATATCGTATTATGGTCCTGTTGCAGCCTACACCTAAGCAAGGCATCTCTACTTATCTCTCTTTCTGTCAGAACAGTATCTGGTTTAACCAAGTGTATAAGCATTCATTTTTAGAGTAATGTGAATCAGTAAAACCTGTGTAGAAGGTATGAATGAGAAAGAATGACACCACAGAAGTAGGCAAGTCTCATTTCAACATAATCCGATATTACATGAAGGTGTAAGCATCAACATATTTATGTATACAGTGTATATGTATACAGTGTATTCATTAGTGGAATCCCTCTCTCTCTCTCTCTCATCCATACCATCTTATGCAGTTGTCAGGATAATAAAACCCAACGCCACAGCACTTATCAGCAACTAAAGTATTAGTACAAGACAGCACGTAACAGCCACACGGAGATCACGCCGCATGTGATATTCCAACATTGAGTGGATTTATAGGCAAAGAATAAAGGTCGATGTTACTGTGATATTTCTCTGATGATGTTTTATGCAAGGGAATCTATCATGATTTCCGTATAGGATGGTTTTGCCAAGGTCTGAAGTGAATAATTTTGTTATAATTTTGTTATTTCATTTTTATGATACATGATTTTTTTTTTTTCTTTTTTTTAGTTGTTGTTGTAATATAGAATGTTGTATTGATATTGGTAATGATGACATGATTTTGCTGTCTTGATATTGGTATTATTATTGTATGATTTTAATATCTTTTCAGTATAATTACTATTATTATACTTTTTATATCATTTTATATTGAGTTTTTTTGTCATTATTATTATACTAATTACAGTTCTGATTATTGTCAATATTTTATTTTTCAGTGTTAGTGTTATTGTTATTGTTATTATTATTATTATTATTATTATTATTATTATTATTATTATTATTATTATTATTATTATTATTATTATTATTATTATTATTATTATTATCTTTATCATTATCATTTTAGTAGCAAATTCTAATTATTAATTGTATATTATTTGTATTGCTATTGTTATTTTTAGATCACTGTCATTATTATTATTACTACTAGTAATATTTCTACCATTTCTGCTAGTGATATACATGAAATTATTATATATTTTATGTACAATAAATTGTGTATGGATAAAAGGTTCTGATTACCTAAACTAAAAGTCAATATATTAAAAATTATATATACGCAATTGCCTCTCGTGTCATTTACTGTTTGGTATGTTCCTAGTTGCCCAATGGCTCTCGACCTCCTTACCTCCATAAACTGCATTCGTATAGGGACTCCCTAGGCCTTTCGACATAGCCCTTAAACTCACAACTGTACAAATGGGGTCTTCTGATGCAGCTAACCTTGCAGTTTGATGAATGATATGATATACTGGTTGCTAGGTAAATCGTCAAATAGAATAGGATTTTCTGTAATATGTAATTTGGTAACTACCTTAATTGTTTTTTCTTCATCCTAAAACTATTATCCATTACCAAAGGTTAGCTGCACTGATGCTCAAATGCACAAACACATTCACATGTAAATATGCTGTTTACTTGGTGTGTGTCACTGGTGAGCAGAAGCTTGTTTGCATAGTGAGAAATTAAGTATGAATATGGACTAATTACTTTTGCTGTTAAATATGTGATTATTCAGAGTCGATGAGAGTTAAGTGGATTTTACACTGCTGGAGAAAAACAGAGGATGGAACATAGTGAATCATTAAGGGAAAAACACAAGAAAAGTCAAATATTTACTTAAACAAGAAATGTATGTACAAACAAATTATTTACCATTTCACAACTATACAAACATTTATAGAAATTGGTCTAATGTTTACTTCTTGGTCTTAGATGGACCCCCAAGCAAATCTAACTGCTTCTTAAGTTCTTTGAGTTCCAGATCGGGAATGTAACGGACCTGAAAAGGAAAAGGAAAAAATGTACGGCAAGTAATGGTGGCTCCAAAAAATCTTTGTACAGTCAAATTTTCACATGTGTACCATTGTAGTCAAACATGTTACATCATTTTTTCCCTATGCCAAAAAATGTAGAAAACGAAATCATAAACAGATTAAAACTTGAAGCTAAAATTAGAATATGGCAAACAATGCTTTAGAAATTAATAAATGAGAACATGGTGTGTGTGCATCAGCAATATAATTTGAAATACTTTCTGAAGATGATAAGGAGGAAAAACTAAGAAAACAAGGAGAAAGATAGAGGAGTAAAAGAAAGCCAGACACAAAAAAGAACACAGAAAGAGATCAAGCAAAAGCAAAAGCAAAAGCAAAAAGAAAAAGAAAAGAAAAGAAAAGAAAAGAAAAGAAAAAGAATAAAATAATAATAATAATAATAATAAAAATAATAATAATAATAATAATGATAATGATAATGATAATGATAATGATAATAATTTCAATGAATAACAGAGAGATGGAGAAGAAGGTGAAGTTAATGAAAGTAACACCCACC